CTGCTACCGAGTGTATGCGCATGTGTGGTTGAGGCGTGCCCACGCAGCGCTAAAAAAGGAACTTTTTGAAACCTTCCAAGTCTGCAAAGGTAAGTAGAACAGCGGGGGGGGGGGGGAGATATCCACTATGCCACATGATTTAGTTAGAAAGCAGGAAATCTGACAGTTCTAGCTAATATAAATTGTGCATCACAGCTTATCTTCACCCAGCTGATCGTCGGAAATACCAGTTCGCCTGAACCAGTAGCATTTTTTACTACCGGTTTGGGCGAACCGGTCCAAACCGGTAGCATTTCACCCAAGGTTTACTCTACGCTATTCTGCTATTTCATTAATTTTGTCTCTATTCTCCTAATTGCCTCTTCCTGACTAAACAGTGGGCAGCAGTGATCCTGGGACATGAATTTAGTGCAGAGGTGGTCCTTGACTTTGGATCGCAATTGAGCCCAAAATTTCTGCTGTTACGTGAGACAGTTGTTAAATGGGGTTTGTCCCATTTTACAACCTTTCTTGCCACAGTTGAATCACTGAAGTTGATGTTAGTAACCCAGTTGTTAAGTGAAGCTGCGCCCCTAAAATATTTTTTTTTATTTTAGAAAATTTATATCGCTGCCTACTCGCTCACGTAAACTCTAGCATCTTACAGACAAAAAAACAATGTAGAAGAAATAAAAGTAATAAAAAATAATAAAATAATAATCCCCAACTCCTCAGTGACAACACATACTCAGATCAGCCATTTAATGGGTTCCATCCCACTCTGGGTTCCACAGGCCCACTGGCAAAACCACATCTTCAGGGACTTCCAAAAGAGTGGAAGCCAGTCTAATTTCTGGAGGGATGATGTTCCAGAAGGAGGGAGCCACCACGAAGAAGGCCTTTCTTCTGGGTCTCACCAGATGTACCTCCTTAGGGGTCATGATCTGCAACATTCCTTGCCTATATTCTATTATTCGATATTCTACGATAATATTTTGAGAACATGAAAATGATGGGTAACTGTAATCCAAAATTTTGTATGGAACTGCATTCTCTGACCCATACCACAGACATTAGCTAGGGGAGAATAGATAGCATCCTGTGAAGCCTAGAATGAGTCATAAGAACCTCACCATGTCCTCCAATAAATGGCTCCTTTGTGATATCATTTAAAGGTGACATCGCTTTTGCATCAATTTTATTTCTTGGTGATTTGATAAAAAAAAAACATCCCCATAATTTTCTTGGCAAAAATGAAGGTAGGTGATTACTCTCATCTTCTACTCTGTTTTTAGGCTTTTCAGCCTAGTATTCCCCAATAATTTTCTATCCAATACTAACTAGGCTTAGTTTCCAAGCCGAAAGATAAGCAGAAGCTATCATCCACAGATAGTTCTCAACTTATCATTGATCATATTATGACCTTCCAGAGTTATAACAATCTCAGAATGGCCCTCATGAAGTTTTGCATATGCCCCGCCAGCAGTTATATGACCACATTTTGGGCGCTTGGCAACCAACTAGCCCTTACGACTGGTTGCAGCAGCCCATAATAAAATGACCACATTTTGCAATGGTTCTGTGCCACTTCCAGCAAAAAACCACTTTTGTAAGCATGGGTTCATTTAACAGACACACCACTCACTTAATGACCGCAGTGATTTGCATAACATTCACTGCAAAAAATGTCCCCAAAAAGGGTTCATTTACATGGGTGTCTCAACTTATGATCACAATGACCTACGACCAATTTCCAGTCCCAACTATGGTTCTAACTTGAGGATTACCTGTACTGAGAGACTGCTATTTATCAGACTACTATTATGAAAATAATATATTCATCTCAAAATGTCAATATGTGGTTATCAACTAAACCCAGTTTGTCTACTACTGTTGGTGGTTTTGTTATATCACCGGTTAACAAATATGAAACATAGCAAGCTAGCCACAAAACCAGATAGAAGAATGGGTAATATTTACCTTTGTTATGGTCTGGTTTGCTAGGTATTTCATATTTTTGTTGAGAGGACTTTGAATCCATGTCATACAAAGTCCTAGGTTAACAATCCTAGAAATGAAACCAAAAACACAATGTAATAATACAAGAAGTAATAATTAAGTCAAATCTGATTCTATGAAGAAGTAGAGCCCTCCCATTATCTTCAATAGTCATGTTTTCTCGGTTGATTGGATAAATAAATAAGAATTTTACTGTAATGGTCAACATCCAGTGATAATTTAGTAGTTAGATTATTATTGGCTATAGACAGGAGTAGTTTCAATAGCAAAGAACAAGTCTAAATTCATGTTGAGGAAAGCCAACTTTATGGACAAACCTTGTGGAGCGATGTTACATCTCAAGTTTTCATATTTCAGAATCTCTCGAAAAGAACTTAGCCTAGAGATGTAAAAAAACAACAACAACCCTCTAACAACCCCCCAAAACACCTGAGATAAACTCCTACTCAACAAAATTGCAAGAACTATCAAGAGGGAGTTATGACAGTGATGTGTTTCTGATCTCAAATACTCAGCATATTTTCAAACCTGCACACCTTAAAAAGGTGTATCATCTGGGAAAGTGTTGAAAAGGTTATATTTAGAAAACTGAATTCATGAATGTAATACTTAATAAAATGCATACAAATTGTTTAGGTTTTAGAAAATTATAAATGACACAAGTTATTTATAAATATAGATCGATATTCAGAGTCTTCATTGAAACTTCTTCACTGATATATTTGTTTTACTAGCTAATTTAGTTCCCATGTGAATACTGACATCTCCAGGTTGTATGAATGTTTTGTTATATATTGGCAAATACTTTGCAATAATTATCCAGAAATATATCCCTTTAGTGCACTACCAACATTATTATGAAAATTTTAAATTGTTAAAAAATATCCCTGTAATAAAAAGTGTTTTTTAAAAATGGGCCCCAGCACGAATCCAAAAGCTCCGAAGATGAAAACTTTCATTCCAGTAACCGTCTCAAACTGGATCCTGCAGTGTTTAAAGAATTAACAAACAGTATATACATTAAATTGGATGCGAGGAAATGCAGGAAAAAAATAAAATATAAAAATAATAACAACAGAAAATGTATTCAGTTAGAAAGGATATGCGTAAAAAGATGATTCTCCAATAGCAGGAGCAGTGTAATAGTAGATGCTCCTGAAATATTTCAATTAGTAGGCACCGTGGCTGAGAAATGTGTAACACATAATCCACATTTAATGACATGGCAATAAGATCTCCCCAGATTATTAGTGATCATGCAAACTTACATAACGGAAGGTGATCTTTGTGTCCTTGTTTCAAGTTGACTAAGGCTTTATATGTCTTATAAAGTATTTAATATTAAAATATCAAACTTGACCCAATATCTAATTGGTAACCAATTATTTTGTTCATATGAACTGATGTTGCTTCAATCTAGATGAAATATGTAGATAGTGACCTTCAACAAGTTGGCCAACAGAGTCTACATCAGCTGCATCTTCTGCACTCAACACAAGAGTAGTTCCACAAAGAGGATACTCTAGTAATCTAAACGTAGAGTTACAGGTGCACAGACAACAGTTCTTATGCTATCCATGTCTGGTTGGAAAAAAACTGAAACTAGAAATAGGCATTCTCAACCTAGAGATCATGTGGGCCTTTAGTAACAGTGATAGTTCTAGGAACACCTAAAGCATATTTCCTATGCTAAGAGTGCCTCCCGGTTAAGAAAACTCCCAAATTCCCATACCAAGGATTCATTCATTCACATACATCCACTGACAAGATTCAATATTGATTTCTATGTTCTCATCCAACCAATTCTAGGTACCACTTTGGAGCATACATATATTCTACTGAATAGCAATAGCACTTAGACTTATATACCACTTTACACTGCTTTACAACCTTCTCTAAGTGGTTTACAGAGTCAGCATATTGCTCCAAACAATTTGAGTCCTCAGTTTACCCACCTCGGAAGGATGGAAGGCTGAGTCAACCTTGAGCCTGGTGAGATTTGAACTGCCAAATTGAATCAGATGTCATAGACAGTATCACCAGCATATTGATGGCAACTCCTAATGGCTGCTCCCAGAGAGAACAAGATAAGATGCCTTATAATAATATTGGTAGCATAACTGCCCAGATGATTAGTATTAGGTGATTAATAATAAAATTTATTGAAAGATGCTGCAAAATCATAAAAGGTCAATTTCTTTTCCATTTGAGGTCATTATCAGGGCAATGAAGAGTGATTCGTTCATATACCCATCTCTCAATCCAGACAGAAGTGAATTTATTTTACTTTATTTCTTTGTGGAATATAGCCAAGAATATTTTCAAAGTGCTCAAAAGGGGTTGAATTTGTAACTGGGCAGTAATTCTTATACATTTCTGAATACTGTAAAGGTTTTTTTAAAAGATGTGGATGAATTGCTAACTTTTGTAAGAGTAACAGTAGCACTTATTACATAAAACATTTATATACTCCTTGGATCCACTAGTCACACAGACACTATCTGCATTGAATAAGCCAAGATGGGTAAGGCTCAGTTGAACAGACCATAGGCTATCTAGCTACCAGTATCTTCTCTATGTTCTTCAGCCTCATAAATTGAAAGGGATCCTATATCAGCCCACCAACCTGTGGCTGCAGTCCACTAGTGGACCATGAGGTATTTGCAACTGAGCTATGGAAATGATCAGTGAGCGTGCACACATGCACATCACTTTTGCAAGCAACAGCAAGCCCATGTACTTCATCTGTGTGAGCGACAGGTGTGTGCATGCCGTTTGTGGAAATGGAGCTGTTTTGCGCAAACCATCCCCCCTGCCTGCCAGTTCGCAAACTTGGAAACTTTGGGGAACTCTGTCCTACATAACTGGATCAGATAATGCATTGACTCCATCACTAGGTATTCTATCAAGAAAAAGATACAAGAGTCCATTAGAATTGGGCAGCTGATAAATGTTAAGGATGGTTGGATGGAGACAAGGGAGGGAGATTGATAGATAGGTAAGGCACAAGTTCCACCACAAGATCATCCACAACAAATGACAATATGCCCTTAACTATTCCAGAAAGCTCTGCTTGCTGTGTATTTGCAGGATCTAAAGCAAATCTTTTTTTTATTCTTATGAAATAGGCATGGTTATACATTGTTGTTTGTCCAGCTGGCCCAAAATTGGTGTTACACCATTTACATTCCAGCTGTCCCTTGATCCATTTCATTGCTTGGAGCTCCTCAGAAAAGCAGGGAAATTAGGATATGAGAAGCCAAAAAGGGCATTTGGAGGCAACTTCATTCATTTTGTCTTACCTTCTGAAGTACAGGCTAAGATTTTGACAGAATTATCAGCTTTGCCTTCTGAAAAAATTCCCCAAACAATTCAAGTATTTCTTTCATTCTATGAAGCTCTGGGAGGACCATCTTAATGGTCCTCTGTTTCCAGTTATCCCTTTAACACAGCAAAGAAATAGCAGGAAGTACAGCATGTTTGCCAAATGCTTCTAAAAACACAACTGCATGCCGACAAAAAGCTTAAGCAACAATTACAGAGAACCTTTCTCAGGTTTAACACGCTTCGAGAGCATTTTCTGCCATATCATTGTAAGTGGTTTGAGCTGCTTGCAAAAGCTTATTCTTATATAGTAAGTTCTAGATTTGCAGAAGCAATGTATGCATTCATTGATTTAAGGTAGCAAAGCAAGGCTGAAGCTATGAAACCAACAAGCAAGTTGTATCTATATAAAACACAACAGATTTGTGATAAATTTGTGATAAGCATGTTTACGAAATAAACATTTAAATCTTGTTCATTGTAATAGTTGCAGTGGCAGAGGGGAAATTATTAAAGTAATTTTCTACACTGCTCATACCACAGTTGTAAATAAATTCCCCTTCACTGGTATTTCACAAAATGTTGTGCTTCTCCATATGATCTGATGATCTGTAATCTAGAAGGGCCTGCAAAGCCTAAAAAAAGAGCTAGTTGTCCAGCTGTTGGATTTTTTGCTGTTTTGACTACAGTATTCTAGCAACAATTGCATTACTAAGCATACTTCAGAGTAACTTTAAAAACTGTTTCCAGAATCTGAAAATGTACGCATGCAATCTATTCGAACCTACCTACCTTTTGTTGTTATTTATATTCAGAAAAAGTAGAGGCAAAATGAGGCGGGATGAATAAGCTGTTAATTCTCACCCTCCCAGCATTAACTATCTAATGAAGCACTAGAAAGAAACAACAGATCAGTTTGAAGTGCATTCTGTCATCTCCTATAAAAGAATAAACAGCTGCCCTTGAATTTCATTGGAAGAAGAAAGCCGACACAAAGTACACTTACGTAAAACAGAGGGGACAGTGATGACAAGCAAGCCAGTCAGACGCTGGCCTCAAATTAGCAAAATCAGACTGCAGTCCTACTGTGTATCCCAAGTTGATGAAACCAACTCAGTAGGGCTTAATTTTGAGTTGACACCTAGTTTTACAGAATGGTGTTTTAATGCCTCATATCCCACAGCCAGATACACCATACTGGGTGACAATCTTTGCAGAAATACGATTCTTTTCTTATTTTAGAACTTGCAAGGCAGGTGCTGAGAAACTGAAATTAAAGCATCCTCACAGTCCAGATATCATTTTTCTCAAGAGTTGAGATGATACCAATATACAAGAAGGATTTAAACTGCCAAGTTTTAAATTGATTGGAAACACCTTTCTCAGCCTCGTGCCATCTTTTAGAACTACCAAACAATATGACATTTTGAGGCCTCTGAACTATGGTGCTGGAGAAGACTCCTGCGAGTCCCTTGGACTGCAAGATGATCCAACTGGTCAGTCCTAGAGATTGACCCTGACTGCTCTNAGGCCAGGGGTCGGCAACGTGCGACTCTGGAGCCGCATGTGGCTCTTTCATCCATCTGCTGCGGCTCCCTGTCGCTAGTCGGCTCCACAATTGATAGGGCTTTCGGTTAGACAGGTAGAGGAAAAAGGATGTCGTGCTAGGGGGAGACTCTATGGTGGGGGAACCGGACTTCTGGTCAGCTTCAGAACTGAACGGGGGGCTTCCAGTTAGGACTTTTGTGGCTCTTTGAGTGTTTAAGGTTGCCAACCCCTGGTATAGGCAATATCTAGCCCTCCAGCTTATGCTAAACTAGAGTTCTAGGCAGCCTCATCTAGCACTGATAATGGTAAGGAATGCTGGGAAATGAAGTTCCACAACACTCGGATTGCCAGATATTCTCTACTATCTCAAGATGTTTTATGGAGATCAAGCAGGCCAATTCACCCCAAGTCTATATTCGGCTTCTATTAGGGTTACTCCAATGTATTAATATCCCACCCTCGCCTCTTAGTAGCCCCATTTTGGTTTCATTTTTGTTGGTACAGAAGGATTCCATTGTAATAGATTCACGTCATTTAGATATTTTGGCTCCACTACAAGCTGCAATGGGCAGTTGCTCTTAGAAGTACCTACAAAACTTTGTAAAAGCTTTCCCAAGGCTTGATACCAGGCTGCTTTCATAGCTGGATAGCAACCTATTTATTTAGACAACTTTTAATAAACAACCATTTTGTACAAGCTGCTATTGTTTGTATTGCTATTATGTTATTCAAATATTAACTCTTGATGGCTGCATGTTTACTTTATGCTTCCTGTCAGAGTTTACTGGGAAAAATTATACATTATTAGAAAAAAAACATGCAGATTGCTAAATAGCTGCAACCAGCAACTTATACAATTGTCAGAATTGTTATATTTTTGTGCTTTTTTTACATATATAATAATATTTGCCCAGATTTGACCCTAACCAAGTCTGGGATAAAGAAAACCAGATTCCCTTCATCTATAATCTTTTTTGCTATTTCTAATCAGCTACTACATGACTGAAGTCTTTTGACAATGAACCCTTCATCTAACCAATTCTAAACGCTGGGATTATAAACACTGTGGATTCAAACAGTGACTCTGCCATTCCCTATGGTTGCTTTCAATCTCTGAACAAACAGGAATATTCTGGGGAAAATAGCCTGCTTTATTCCAGAACACTGAACCGTGAAAACAAGTGGTCTAGATATAACTTTTGTCAACTCAGTATTAAGATTCAGTACTGCTCTTTTCAGACTGTATATAAAGTAACAGTTCTGAAATAGTTAAACACATAGCTTACCTCTTTATTATATTTTCATCTGATCCAACCAATTTTTATACCAAATTCTATATTAATCATCTGCTTTTTAAAAAATTATTTTCAGAGATGCAAGTATCCCACATTTGATATTGTATAATAACTTAGTTAAATATGGATTATATATTTTGTGGAAGGGAGAAATATAAACTTTATTCATTATTACACATACTTAGATAGTTTTGTAAGTTTATGGCAAACTTGACCTAGACACTTCAAGCCCACCAAGATCACTGTCACAGAAAAGGTTTCATTTTCATAATACCTGTTGAATATTCAGTTGTTTGAGAACAGGAAAGAGAACTTCGTCAGTTTTTAACTTAGTCCATCCGAAATGACTTTGGCAAAATATGCAAACAGTTAAGGACCAGTAATGAACAAGCATTTCCAAAAGACTTCTACAGATGTGTCTGAATTAGACATTTTGAAGCCTTTTGCTAATTTTGAACTTACATTACTTTTCACATGCAAAAACTGTATTCCCAAACTATTTTGTATTGACAACTGCAGCAGGCAAGTCAACAATGATGACTTTTTTAAAAAAAATCAATAAAAAACAAATATGGGATTTAATATGCTGAGTTTCTTAATTTTATTTATAATGGGATAGAGACTCTGCATCAACCAAACAAATAACAAGTAATATATAAGGAAGTGCTATTAATTACTATTCAGAAAAATTAAATTTGCTCTAGCCAGAGAAGCAATTTACTAGCTATAGAATCTAGAATTCTTCCATTCAAAGAAGGAAACAAGAAACCACCACACTGAAACATAGTTTATCTATGCCACGGGTGTCAAACTCAAGGCCCGTAGGCCGGATTCTACCCATGTGGTGCTTAGATCTGGCCTGCAGGGCTGCCTTGGAAACAGTGAAGGACCAGCCTGTGTTGCCTCTGCCAGAAAAAACGGAGCTGTGGAGGGCCGGGCGTGGTCCTCTCAAGCTCCATTTTCACTGTCAGAGGGTTGCAGGAGGCCATCACAGCCGAAAACCCAGGACACCACAGGCATCCCCGACACGAGTGATGTCGAGCTGGCCACGCCCACCGCAGCCTTGCCTATCCCAGCTACACACATCACCACCCCTGAGGTGAAATATAACCCTGATGTGGCCCTCAATGAAATTGAGTTTGATACTCCTGATCTTTGCAAATGTTTGCACTAAAATATCTTTTTTTTTAAACAGTTTGTTAAGGGAACAAACGGTGGAAAGGATATTCTCTAATTTCTTCCACATTAGGTCTTCCCCAAGCAAAGGATGCCTTTGACTCATCCACCACAGGGTGCAGATAAGCTTCCGCCACAGAAAGATTTGGGAAACCAGCATCAATTTCTATGTGTCGCAGTTTTTTCTTCACTTTAGTATCATATGGATTGGGACGTATTTTCTTATTCTTTTGAGCCTCAGTCCACCATTCCCTAAGAAAGAAGAGAGAGAAAAAAAGAGGCATATTTAAAAAAATGATTTGACTTAGGCTTTGGAAATGAAAAAAAAAATGAAAGTCCCATAATGAAAACTGCCTACAGGAGTTTCAAGAGAGGCTCTAATCCTCGTCCAGGGAATTCATTCAAAATCTCCATCGCAGTTACATAGCCAACATTAGGGATACCCTCGGTGTAGTCGCTGCCCAGGAGATAGGCCAGATTAATCAACTTGTTTCGATCCAAGCCTGAGGGGAAAGAAAAGGAAGTGNCTCATGTACTTTGGCCGCCTAATGAGAAGGAAGGACTCACTGGAGAAGAGCCTAATGCTGGGAAAGATTGAGGGCAAAAGAAGAAGGGGACGACAAAGAATGAGATGGCTGGATGGAGACACCGAAGCAGTAGGCATAAATGGACTCCAGAGGATGGTAGAGGACAGGAAGGCCTGGAGGAACGTTGTCCATGGGGTCACAATGGGCCGGACACAACTTCACAACTAACAACAATGGCTGAAGTTTCTGGGAACTCTCATCCACATGGCACCAAGTTGGAGAAGGTAGGAGTAAATGAAAAAAAAAATAGTTAGAATCAAGGAAATGGATAGGATGAGATGGTTGCATTAAGCAGTATCCGAGACAATAGGGCAGTTATAGAACTGGGATAAACAAGATACTTGTACTTTTCCCTACCTGTTGTTCACAAGCTGTGTTAATTCCATCACCCTCAAGATTCATGTTGGATAGAAGTTACTGTATAAAGGCTGGTAAAAATGGACTATAACACCCCTCCATTTCTCTTCCGAATTTAACATACACCAATCTGGGCTTAGAGGAGAAACATGAACAGAGAAATTTGCTAGCCCTTTGTTCTTTTTCTCAGAGGCAATTCTGGTTTTGTCATATCAAATAAGCTGAAATGCCACACAAACATTTATTATGTAATGCTCCAGATCAAAATATCACATTTAGTGATCATAGGGACGAAAATAAACTAAAAGTTAACACTTCCTATCTTGTGAGATAATCAGTTTCTGTCTATTGCATCTTTTAACACTTCATTGTAGTCATGAAGCAGGAAGTCAAGCTGTACAGTATTCCAAATTCACATCCAATTTACACCCCACTATTGTTCACTAAAGTTAAGCAAAGCCAGGCTGATTATTCTTCATCCCATTATTTGCTTGTGGTACACAACACAGCCGATATATAACTGAATAGTTATTTAGTTCAATAACTAAAACCACTTTTCTATGTCACTCTGTAGAATAAAAAAGGAGGGATATCACTGCATTATCATAGCTACTATCTTTTCCTCATTTAATAATTTTGCAAGTACAATAAAGGAAAGCAATAAAAGAATAAAAAGAACATAAAATACATTAGAAGATTTACAAGTATTACAGTTAGCTAAAATTCAAAACAGCATTAATCTAATTTGCATGTTGGAATATCTCATATTACCACAGTATTTCTTTTTTAATTGTATATTTCTTATATTAATAGTAAAAAAGGCAGCATTTATTTTGTAGTAGTTAACCATTATACAGCTCAAATTATAAACCAAAATTAAAAATTGCAGTTAAGTATTGCCTGATCTATGTTCAATACATTTAGATCACCATACACTTATAATATTATGTAAAAGAAAACCTAAAGTTTGGATGTGGTCTGAACCTATTTGTAAGAATTATAATTCAAACAGAGTTTCCACATTGTGGCAAATTCTGTATCAGCTTTATTTTTTATACATAAAATTAATATCGACACTGTTTCATTCCAATTCAATCATCAATTTAGCTATAGCTCACAAATGTTTATGTATTTTAATAAACTTTTTTCTTCTGAAATAGACCTACCAGGCTGATTGGTTTTTTGTTTTGTTTTTACTACAATAGACAGAGTTAACCTAAGACAGTGGAACATAGTCCTACAATTTGCTTTCTCATTCTTCTGTGGAAGAAATTGTATTTTCAGTTGGAGAAGAGGATACATAATTCTTGCAGCTGTTACATGTACAAACCCAAATCAGTATACCTTATGTGAATATAAAGTTTAGCAATAGTAACAAAAATCTGACAGCTGGAATGGAACATTTATTTCATTCCATTATAAATCACAACTGTTGGACTTTACAACATAACATAATATCACACAGGAAAAATAATCCAAACCACTTCCAAACAACCTTGCCAAAAAGAGACTTATCAAAGCAGTTTCTGAGAATCAGACATGATTGAATGGGGGGGGGGGGGAATGATACCAATTTTGAATGTTGAATGTTGA